CTGATATACTTTTTGGTCTTAGTCGTATGACACTGTTGAGTTGGTCCATCTTTTCAAGACGTGGTTTGTTGACGTTGGATTTTACTACTCCTTTTCCAACCTTCTAAATTTGCAGCTTTTTTTGTGCATTTAGCGTAATGCACAATTTTTCCTCAAAGCTTTTCTTCGAATGGAGTTGAGATTTGTTTCACGCATATCAATGGTGGTGTCTGTTTTTATTTCACCAGAAAAAGTATGCGCCTTCCAAAGTCAGCTGTACTGTAGTTCATCAAACAATCGAAAATCTATTTTTCTGTTGAAGTAACTAACGTTTTTTGATCAGGTTTTCAATGGATAAAAGTGATATCTGTTGTTTGAGGCGGAAATGCAAATTTTTAGGAAGTGTCTTTGGGAGAATGCTTTTAGAAAATAATATTTTCTGCAGGAAACTTTTGAATTGTCGGAATAATGTTTTTGAAATATGGGTAGTGATTAGCAGTAAAAATAGTTGAGTGTTGCTTTTAGAAGTCCCTGATGTTCGCCTATTAGTGTATTGTACGGTTGGAGATGTTACACCGTAGGTTGTTAACTACGGTCCCAGAAGCTATTTTGAAACCTTTTAACCTGGTTTTCCGGTGTTATGGAAGCACGAGTAATGAAGTTGCTTTACGACAAGAAATGTCTCTCAAGGAAGAGTGGAAAAGGCGAACTGCACTGCGCGCACCAAAGATCCAAAGATTTGAAGTGGTAAAATTTTGGTTAAATTTGTTATTAAGTATAGGAATTAAGCCGTGCTGGGAAATATGCAACGGTTTGTTCAATTGGTCACCTTCAGCGTTTCTTTAAGATCATTAGGCTTTGTAGTAATATTGACAATAACACTAATATTATTCCTTATTGTATTTTAGATGAAACCGAAAATGTTTTATGCTCCAGATTGGGAACTTGGTGAAAATCCAGATAAAAGCGAAGGAATACCTGATCCTTTAACTAAGTACGGGACAACTCCAGAAAAATGGGAATATTATAATACGGTATTTTTTAAAAGTATTAATTCTATTGCTTTTTACGGATTTATCATTACGAGATTTAAATAGCATCAAAAAGGGGAGCTGCCTTTCGAACGCCCAGCCTCAGCCTGAAGTCTGCTGAGAACGCAATTTTAAGGAGATTTTTCGCGAATTAGGAAGCAGAAGGAAAAATCAAATTTAATTGTTTTAAGCGGCTTGAAACATTTAATTAAAAATCGTGTTATATGGAACTCTGTGATTCTCGTATCAATATTTTTGATGTTTTTTAACGGCTCAAAATGTTATAGTTTTAAAATAGTGAGGAGAGGAAACATCTGTATTTTTATCAGAAGGGTAAGAAAGTAATACAGGTTTTTAGGGATCTTCCAGACTTCTTAGTACGATATTTCTCATAAATACATCGTAGGTGTTAAAATTTTTTCATTTTTAATTAGCAGTTTTTTACTCTTCAGTATTAATGAAGCATGGTCATAAACTTATTTAAAAGTCTAGGAATCTAAAGGGAGTGACAAGCTGCTGCAGAATAGTTCTATGCGGGAAAGAATGCTTAGAAAAGTAGTGGCATTCTCTCTGCTAATTTCTACTTATAGAGTTGAGAATCTAAGTGTGGTTTTTAAAGTTCTCACGCGACTTCAAATTTTTGAATAAGGCTGTAGTTTCATTTTAGAGAAAGCATTTCTGTCGATGGTATCTAATATTGAATCTTTTTTCGAAAAGACGACATATAAACTGTATCTCGTCGTCTGCGCTGTTACAGCTCACATTTCAAGTGTAGAGATCGGTACCAAAATTTATTTGTCTTTGCTCTGTTGCGCTGACGGTTTATTCTACCTGCAGTCTTCACAGTTTCATTTTATTTCTGACCCCTCCTTACGTTTATCTCTTAATTTGTTAGATCTGCTTTTTTTCGCTTTGTTTAGTTCAAAAAAAAAAAAATCGCAGTTTTCAAATTCTGCTTCAAGAAACTCAGTCTGTTTAAGGAGAGCTGTTTTCACTTAAGAAATTCTTATCAAAATATAGGTATTATGGGAACTTGCAAAGAAAAATTTTGTTTTTTGTTTTTAAAAATGAAAAAAGATTTTTTTTTTTTTGAAAGATATTATAATTAAATAAAATAATCGTTAGTGTGGTCTAAGGGCTGTCGTAAAAAAGCGATAGAACAATTAAGTGAAACACTTGCATTAATTACGT